CTAACATTTCTCAGGGGCTGAACTGTTAACAGGCCCTGTACTGTTTTACATACATTTTCTCACTTAATCCCCCTAACGGTCCAGTAAGGCAGAGGTTGGTGTTAAAACCATTTTACAAAAGAAGGAATGGAGAGGCTAAGTAATCTGCTGAAGGCCATGCAGCTGGCAGCTGGTGGAACCAGGACACACAACCAGTCATTCTGACTCCAGTGCCTGTGCTCTTAATTTTCATACCATTCTGCTTCTTGAAGACGGTATACATATGTGCAGTTGGAGGAAGTGGGGACCAGGGCAGGAGTGTCTATCTTTTCACATGGTGATTTTTAGTAATATTATTCAATTCATCGAATAGTACTAACAAGTATGGCTGCCCTCAGATCTGTAATTCAGCCAAGATTTTGAAAAAACTTCGACCATTTTCATTACCCAGTCCTACCACCTTTGCGCTTATGTTCTTCCAAGATTATAATTTCTCAGCACCTGGCCCCCATCTTTGTCCATAATAGACATTTGAATAATTAACGAAATTTTACAAACCATGATGGATATGATGGATTATTTTGAGTGAAGATACTTAACATTTATTCAATAAGTTTTAAACATTTATTTCCCGGCACTGGGGATTCGAAGACAACTGTGAATAGAGCAGCCTCCACCGAGCTCCCTCTCAACCTAGTGAGGGAGGCTGACATGTCAGCCAGTAGCCACAATCCACACAAATTCTCTAGTAGCAGTTAGTGTCCCTATATTTGACTAATCAGCTGAGGCATCTGTTAGGAAAACAACAAACTATGGTTTCCTGGTTCCCAGAGCAAGTGAATTAGTATTTCTTGGGGCAAGATCCTGGCAATTGGTTTTTAACAAGTATCCTGGGATTTTTTTATGATTAGGTAAGACTGAGAGACCAGATATGAATAGAAACAGGAGACCGTGGGTCAGAGGAGAAAGCAGCTTAGTCTATCTGTTGTTGGGAAAATTAGCCAAAGCCACCGAGTAAGTACACCCTCTCCTCACTTATCAACATTGTTAGGTTCCAAAGACCAGGTCATTACGTGAAAATTGGTGTTATGTGAAAATGGAGGATGACCACATCATGACACAAATATGAAATTACACATTACTTAACCACCAAATTATATCATTACATAAATGCCAAACCACTTTGAATGATGACCCAGCCAAGTTGACACATAACCCTAACCATCACATTCAGTGTTAATTCTCACCTGGCACCTCAGCATTCATTACTGCCAGACCTACATCATTAATGCATAAAACAGTGAGATAGTAGATTTTTTACTATTGTAGTCAATGTGAAATGTCAGATAAGAAGATAGTCGATAAGTGAAGAGTAGGTGTAATGTTTGAGCCACACCTTATGAATGAATAAGCAGAAAGGAGAAAGTAGCTTCCGAGCAAGGAGAAGGCAAGTGAAGGCTTAGAAGAACTGAAGGAGAGTGGTTTATTCTGGAATGCTGTGTGTATGATACAGATTGACTCAACTGGTTCAGAAACAAGACTGAAAACTTTGGAGGCCTACTCACCACATAACGTGGAGATAGGCTGAGTCCTAAACTAAAGTCATAGAAACCAGGGCAGGAAGAGTCTAAATCAGTGTGGACAGTGGAAACTAGGGGAAAAAAATCCTTATCTGAGAGAGATTATGAAGAAAATTACTGAACAGGGTTTATAAATTGATGCTCTCTAATTAGGTAGGAAGGAGAGAACTATGTCCTATAAACCCTTTTAGTCATTTCAAGAACAAGTCATATTCCAAAGTTTAATTTGGAAATGATTTTTTTGGGGGGGGCCCTGGAAAAGTTTCATCATCTAGAACTTTTTTCATGAGGAAATGCTTTAAAAATATCAGTCTAACGTATCAGGAAAAGTGTTACCCCCCAGCATAGCCATGGAATGTACTCTTCCTCATTCCTGTCTCTCTACGTGTGTATAGTGTGAATTCTAGATCCCCCATCCAAATCCAGAGCTCTGGTAGTGTAGTGCCTAAGGCATTTGACTGCTAACCAGAAGGCTGGGAGTTCAAACCCACCAACCACTCCTCAGGAGAACGGTTGGGCAATCTACTTCTGTAGTGATAGCGCCTTGGAAACCCAAGGAGGGGTCACTATGAGTCGAGTCCCACTTGATGGCACATAACAACAACAACAACAACCATCCAAATCACTGGTAGTGGCTTTCAGATCCAGGTACGAAGATTTATGAGCATCTGTGGTATGTAAGGGAGCTCTGGTGGTGTAGTGCCTAAGGCATTTGACTGCTAACCAGAAGGCTGGCGGTTCAAACCCACCAGCCACTCCTCAGAAGGAAGGTTGGGCAATCTACTTCCATAACTATACTGCCTCAGAAACCTGAGGAGGGGTCACTATGAGTTGGATCCAACTCCACAGCAGTGAGTTTGTTTTTTTTTGTGGTATGTAAACCCCTTTCCTGAAGGTCCCAAGGAGTAGTAACTCACATGCTTAACACCCCCCACTTCCAGCCATGTAATGCTCCATCCTGGATCCACTCCAGGACAGGAAGCAATTTCAGTTTTGTTTGATCGAAAAGTATTTACATTTTTAATGATGGAACAAATCTTAACAAAATGTTGAATTAAAAAAAGAGACTCTTAACCAGAAGGCTGGCAGTTCAAACCCACCTGCCACTCCTCAGAAGGCAGGTTGGGCAATCTACTTCTGTAGTGATACTGCCTCAGCAACTCAAGGAGGGGTCGCTATGAGTCCGGGCCTACTCAACGGCACATAACAACAACAACCCTCACCAAGTCTATAGTTATAGTTTGTGTTATTAGGAAAATAACTATACCAGGTAGCCAGTGACAAAGTACCAGTTGCAAAAATTGACACAAATAAATTCACAAATTTCTGAAAAAAGCAAATTAAATAATTTGTAAAAACAGTTATTGGACAACACAAAAAGGATTCATATCTGGAATTTACAAATTAAAATTTTGATCCTATGAAACATGTTTAAGGGTGGATGTAAAATTTCTTTAATACCAAGCATTATTCTTCTCACCAATTTCTATCAGAGAAGGATTTGTTGAATAGGTTAATATTTTGAATGGGTCAACAATTTAATATACCCACACCTGTGTTGATCTATATTTAAGAAGCCACCACTATGAAATAAACCCCACATGTCAAATGGACAAGAATTTGAATGCAATGAAAAAATGACAACCAAACAAAACCAACCAACCAAACAAGCAAAGGAAACCAAACCAAACCCACTGCCATCGAGTGGACTCCAAATCCTAGTGGCCCTATAGGACAGAGTAGAAATGCCCTTTTGGGTTTCCAAGGCTGTAAATCTTTTTTCTCCAGCAGAGTGGCTGGTGGGTTCAAAGCCCCGGCTTTTAGGTTAGCTTTAACCCCGTGCTTTAACCACAGCACCATCAGAGCTCCTGAAAACAAGGGCAGGCACAGTTAAGGCATCTTAAAAAAAAAAAAAAAAAAAAAAAAAACTCCACGTTTTTGCTTATCAAAATATTTCACACTTTTTTTTTTTTCCAATGCATCTGAATACCATGAAAATTGTTGGAAAATCCTGCATGACAAACCCAGATAGTTTCCAAACCTCATTCAACTGTCAAAGAAGATAAAGAAGCTCTCTCCTCATGGGATTGTGCACGGAGTTAGAGGTCCCCTGGACTCCCCTTATCTTACACTAGACGGCAACGCAGAGGTCTGTGCAGCAATTGCAAACAGGCAGACTTACTATGTGGAAGGGAAATGACACGGAGTTTTCATCGGTTGGGGAAACAACTTTGGTTTTTCCATGTACTCTGCAGGAGCAGGTTTGTGAGGCCGGATAATTTGCATTGCATCTTCTCCAAACCATTCTCTCTCCCTTCCCAGATTCACAGATTCTTCTCAACCTAATACTTCAGCGACTGTATGGACATGATTATCTCTATTCTGTGTTCTCCGTCTTGGTTCTGTTTCCATGTCCAGGAATCTGCCTCATTTTCCTTTGACTCCAGCCTGTTGGTGAACTCGTTTACTGAACCACCAGACTCATCCTATGCCTACAGATTCCAGCTGATACAGTCGATCCATTGGTTGGATTGCCACCCACGCAGCCCTGTGGCTCGCTCCCGACGCACTAGAGCGCAGGCGCCGCTTGGCGTACTCTAGTGCTGGGTCCGCAGGAGGCGGCGCAGGTAGCTGGCGACCATAGTCACTCAGGACCGAGCGAACCCACGCGCGGAGGTGCAAGCACCGCCCCGTCGCCACCTCCTGGCAGAGCGAGGAGACTAGCTCCGCGAGAGGACAGTTGTTGGGACTTGAGGCTCGGCCAGTCCCAGCAACTCACCTTCATTTTTTGACATAACAAAAGTGCATTTTATTCCTCTAACAATAAGAAACACACCAGGAAAAACAAAAACAAACAAACAAAAAATGAGGGGCATTCTATAAAACACCTGACCAATATTCCAGAAAACTCTCAAGAGCATCAAAAACAAATTTAGAAATCGCCACATCCAAGAGGAAGCATGTACTGTGGTATCCTGGATGGGATTCTGGAACAGAGAAGGTACATTAAGTGAAAATTAAAGAAATCTGGAAAAAAGTATGGACTTTAGTTAATGATGATATCTCCGTTTTGGTTCATTAATTATAACAAATGTCCCATACTACTTTAAGATGTTAATAATAGAAATTAGATGTGGGGTACATGAGAACTCACTGCACCATCTTCTTAATTTTTCTGCAAATCTAAAATGGTTCAAAAAACTAAAGTCTAATTTTAAAAAGTGCATTCTACTACAATTTTTACCGAATCATGAAAATACACATTTCTTCATTACTTTAGGCTCTGCATTGCTGATTCCCTTTTCTTGGTCCTATTTCTGATTCCATTATTTGACTTGTAATTTAAGAAATTAAAATTACTTGCGGTTATTTGAGAAATCCTTTCATAAGCACAGAGTGGGGTAAGTGGATGGGACAGAAGAAAATATGAGCAAGACAGAGATGACAAGCAAGTACACAGATAACAAGTGCAGACACCGCCACGTCGTTTATGGACAGCATCTTAAATTACTGCGAATAAGATTTGTGTTTCTGCCCCAGAGGGTATAGGAAATCATGAGACTCAGCCATGGGCTCTTCTGAGTCCGTGTGTATCCCTCCAAAATGGAGGCGGGATTAATCCTCTTTCAGCCCCATGTCCCCACACCTCCTATTATGACATACGTAGCCTTTAATTTTCCGTATGGGGTTCTGAATAAATAAAGAGAAAAAAGGAGATCTGAAACTCTTTAGGGGGTGGGAAGATCAAAAGGGTTATTTGTTTGTTTGTCCTGTTTTTGTTCTAGAAACAAGAAATCGGAAGAGTGGCTATTAGATGGAGTTTTTACAGGGAAAAAATGTAAATACTTTTCGATCAAACAAAACTGAAATTGCTTTCTGTCCTGGAGTGGATCCAGGATGGAGCATTCCATGGCTGGAAGTGGGGGGTGTTAAGCATGTGAGTTACTACTCCTTGGGACCTTCAGGAAAGGGGTTTACATACCACAAAAAAAAAACAAACTCACTGCTGTGGAGTTGGATCCAACGCATAGTGACGCCTCCTCAGGTTTCTGAGGCAGTATCATTATGGAAGTAGATTGCCCAACCTTCCTTCTGAGGAGTGGCTGGTGGGTTTGAACCGCCAGCCTTCTGGTTAGCAGTCAAAAGGTATTATTAGCATAAAGGTCCCTGGTGATGCAAAAGTTTTGCATGAGACTACTAACCTAAAGGTTGCCGGTTGGAATCCATCCTGCGTCACCTTGAAGGAGAGGCCTGGAGAGCTATTTCCATAAAAATTAAGCCAAGAAAACCCTGTGGAGCTTAGTTTTAATCAGTAATACATGATGGAGCCATGAGGTGGAAGTAACTTGATGGCAATGGGTTTGATTATTTTGGTTTATTGTTACCATGATAAGAAGTAAATATATCTTATGAAAACTGTAGTCATGGAGTTTGTTTTAGCATGCTCACTTTCCAACTCTCTTTATTTATAATCTCTGTTTACCCAGAGTAATTTAGAATGATATTTCCCTCAATGTAAACTACTTTTTAAAATGAATCATTAGCTTTTGAATTTGGTAATAATTCTTCAGCTACATGTGCATGTTTACCAATAACCACAGGATTGGAGTCCAGCCTGGTCAGTGGTGACTGTGTCACAGTGAGAAAACCAGCTTTCTTGTGGTTCAGCTGTTACCTTCAGACTTATCTTGTTAGGGCACTCTAAAATATCTCACCTATTATAGGTTGTCAATAGGTGCTACTTCTCACATAATGTAATTTTGGGGCACTGAATTGCACAGTCAACCAAGAATTATTTTCCCTTATAGTTTTCTTTATACTTGCCTGAGTTCAAGAATCTCATCCAAAGTATGTAGGTACATTTTCCGAAACTCCTCCACTTCCCCAACCAAGTCACAAATGAAGTGGAATGGAAAACCTTGGAATAAGATGTATGATGGAGGAGAGCAAAAGTTCATTCTCTATGTAGACTTAAGCATTTTGTATGTACTGTCACTGGTAATTAGTAGGAAACAGAAAATATAGTTAAAACAGTTTGTCCTGTGAATTGTTAAGCTTTTTAAAAATATAAAAACATAGTGTTAAAAATTGAGTGCTATAACATTTAAAGGAGCTCTGGTAGCATAATGCCTAAGGCGCTTGACTGCTAACCAGAAGGCTGGCGGTTGGTTCAAACCCACCAGCCACTCCTCGGAAGGAAGGTTGGGCAATCTACTTCTGTAGTGATACTGCCTCGGAAACCCAAGGAGGGGTCGCTATGAGTCAGGTCTGACTCGACAGCACATAACAACAACAACATAACATTTAAGGAAACGGATACCGCTGTTCTAAAAGTTGGTGCCAAAGCTGCAGCTTAACTAAATATAAATTTTAGTTCACTAATTTTGCTAAGGGAATTAGTAAAGTATAAAATAGCTTTAATCAAAGGCAACATTTGTAAATTATATAGTGTGATCAAACATGGCCATCCAGAATTTTTCTAGTTTTCGTATACAGAATGTTATGTTCTGGGTATTTGCTTTTTAAAAAACAAATACTCTAAATCCCACAGATCAACCTTTCTATCAATTTCTTATGGACTAAGACTTTTCTCAATTATTTCTTTTTTTAAAAAAAAGTATTTTATATTGTTGTTGTTGTTGACAGTATACACAGCAAAACACAACCCTTCAACTGTTTCTACATGTACAATTCACTAATGTTGATACATTCTTAGAGTTGTGCAACCATTCTCACCCTCCTTTTGATTTGTTCCTCCCCCGTTAACATAAACTCACTGCCCCCTAAGGCTCCTATCTAGTATTTCTAGTGCTGTTGTCACTTTGGACCTATATAACCAAACCCATGGCCATCAAGTCGACTCTGACTCATAGCTACCCTGTAAAATAGAGTTGAACTGCCCCATAAGGGTTCCAAGGCTGAAAATGTTTACAGAAGCAGGGTGCCTTATCTTTCTCCCACAGAGTTGCTGGTAGGTTCAAACCACTGATCTTTTAGGTTAGCAGCTGAGTGCATTAACCATTATGCCACCAGAGTTTATTTGATCCCATATTCAAACAAAAACCGACCCCACTGCCATCAAGTTGACTCCAAGGCTGTAAATGTTTATGGAAGTAGATTATCTCATCTTCCACCCATGGAGCAGCTGTGGATTTCAACTTCAGACCTTCTGGTTAGCAGCCAAATGCCTTACCCACTATGCCACCAGAGCTCCTTATAGATGGTTCTTAAAACAACGTTAAGCCCAAGGCAGATATTTTTTTTACTAGTTAAGTTAAACAATTGTTTGGTTTTAAGAAGATTTCAGGGGATATTTTTGGTTTAGGTTTTAAAGATTATCTCAGGGCAATAGTTTCAGAAGTTCATCCAGGCCCCTTCAATAATCTCTTAACTTTCTTTAAAGTCTATACTCACACAACACAGAAACTGGATTGTTTGGGAATATAAGAATTCATCTACCTGAAGTGCTATCCCAAGCACTTGGGATTTATGTTGTACATGGTAATAATGCATGAAGTTATTCTATAAACCATTGAAATATGTACGTGACATGTAAAATATGTATATAATTCATGTTAAAAAGAAACGTTTGAACTAAGTAGTCACTAAGCAGAGAATACCAGTTAGATGGTTACTTGTGTTTTATTGACTATGCAAAAACATTCAACTGTATGGATTATGACAAATTATGGATAACATTGCAATGAATGGACATTCCAGAACACTTAATTGAGCTCATGAGGAACTGTACAGAAACCCAAAACAGCCATTCAAATAGAACAAGGGGATATGGTTTGAAATCAGGAACGCTGTGTGTCAGTGTTGTATCCTTCCACCCTACTCACTCAATCTGTATGCTGAGCAAATAATCTGAGAAGCTGGGTTGTATGAAGAAGAACATGGCATCAGGATTGGAGGAAGACTCTTTAACAACCTGTGATACGCTGATGACACACCCTTGCTTGCTGAAAGTGAAGAGGACTTGAAGCACTTACTGATGAAGATCAAAGACTACAGCCTTCAGTATGGATTACACCTCAACATAAAGAAAACAAAAATCCTCATAACTGGTCCAAAAAGCAACATCACAATCAATGGAAAAGAATATTGAAAGTATCAAAGATTTTGTTTTACTTGGATCCACAATCAATGTCCATGCAAACAGGAAATCAAACGACGTATTGTATTGGGCAAATCTGCTGCAAATGATCTCTTTAAAGTGTAAAAAAGCAAATATGTCATTTAGAGGACTAAGATGTGCCTGATCCAAGTCATGTTATTTTTAATCTCCTCATGTGTATGCAAAAGCTGGACAATGAATAAGGAAGACCAAAGAAGACATATTTGAATTATGGTGTTGAAGAAAATAGCAAATATACCATGGACTGTCAGAAGAAGGAAAAAAAACTGTCTTGGAAGAAATATAGCCAGAATACTCCTTAGAAGCAAGGATGGTGAGATTTGGCTCATGTACTTTGGATATGGTATCAGGAGGGACCAGTTCCTGGCGAAGGACATCATCCTTGGTAAAGCAGAGGGTCAGCAAAAAAGAGGAAGCCCCTTAAGGAGATGGATTGACGCAGTGGCTGCAAAAATGGGCTCAAACATAGTACAATTGTGAGAATGGCACAGGACTGGACAGTGTTTCATTTTGTTGTATGTGAGGTCTCTATGAGTTGGAATTGACTCAATGGTACTAACAACAACAGCAGTCACTAACGCACTTGATTCAAGATTTTCTCCAATGCCATTTAGCAAAAAGCTGTCCTTATCCATACTACAAAATCCCCAAGGCTTCTATTTCTATAATGGAACAAAATACAGTTTTCACACTTTGAATTTCACATGATGTTCTTCTTCACCATGCTTCTGGAACCCAATCTAGAAAAAATAAAGGGAAGGCTCTCACATGATTTATTTCTCCTAAGGGAATAAGAGAATATTTTCAAGTAAAATGATTGAACCTACTGCAGATAGCAGTGTCTACTACTCAATTCTCTATAGTTTGCACTGTTGAAAAGAACTAGTTATTATAAGTTATATTTGTAGACATGAAATACTATTCTGAATGAAATACTGAATGTTTTGTAAATGGGTGATATTTTCCAACCAGGCACCAGTCATTCCATTTCTTTTTTCAATCACACCATTATATGAAGAAGCAAAACTGAAAGGTAGGTAATGATTGTTGAATTGCTTTGCATGGTCTCATTTGAGTTGGTGTAAGAATTGTGACATTTTTAATATTTGGAAACATTGGAAAAAATGGAATGTCATACTCCAAGTTTAAGAAAATATATTTGAAGATATTTAATCTCCATCTGATTAGACTCTCTTTCTGTGGTCCTTTGAATAAACAACTGTATGTCACCAAACGGTCAACATTTACCATAAAACAAAGATTAGACGCTAAGGAGGGTGTGTTTGTTAACTTGGCTGGGCCAAGTGGTTTTGAGTGGCTGGGCAGCTGAAGGTAGTTATTCCCCATAATAAGATTATAATCAGCTCCATGGTGGAATCTGCTCTGAGTAGCTAGGGAGCTG